GGAGGGAGAAGACAGCCCCGGAACTCTACCATCTGGCCGCAGCTGGCTTAGGAGACTCAGAAGTTGCCAGCTCCAGCTTCGCACCTTTTTCCAACAGTGTTTGGGGGCTAGGGAAGGGGAGAATAGCCCTCTCCTCCTACACACACACTTAAGTGTCCCGGCTAAGGGAGGAGGGAGGCACTGTGGCCTTGGAGGGGAATGGGATACAGCCAGCCTCCCACCCGCCCAGCCAGTGAGCTCAGGCCTCTGGTATGTATCAGGCCAGTCACAGCAAGTCCTCTTCCTCCCCCAGGGAAAAGCAGGTGAGTCGGGGGAGGCACCCAGCCAGGTCCTGTCCTCCCAGGATTGCACCCTAACACCTTCCCTGCCAGATCGGACACAACTCACTCCCTAACCGTACCCCCAGAGTCCCAGTGAGTGGTCTCCTTGCTCCAGATGACCAAGGGGGCACGGGGGTGCATCCAAGCTAACTCCCTTTCTATTGGAAGGGAGGGGCTCCATTTTGTGCTGTCCTTTGTAAGGCAGACAAACATCCTCCTTTCCCCACCCCAATCTACAAAGCCTTGGACCAGGGGGCAGGGAACCTCCATTTTAGCCCTGGCTCTACCCCAAACTCACTGTATGACCTTGAGAGACCCTTTCCCTCCATAAGTCTGAGTTCCTCCTTGGTAAAGGAGGTCTGACCTGGTGGTCTTGAAGGTCGTTCCAGTACTGACAGTCTGTTTTAAGTTGTCTCCTAGCTCTAAGATTTTATGTGTTACCATTCTGGATTCACAGCTCCTTCCAGCTGGAACATGTTCTCACATCCTATGTTTTGATCTCCCTTTCATTTGGGACACGATCTACCTTCCTGTGTTCAAAACTCCCAGCTGGGACATGTTCTAACTCCTTTCCAGCCAGGACATGTTCTAATATCTTGTATTCTAAAGTCTCTTCCAGCTGGGACATGTTCCCATATCTTGTGTTGTAAACTTCCTTCCAGCTGGGACACGGTCTAATATCCAGTGTTCTAAGCTTCCTTCCAGCTGGAGCATGTTCTAACATCCTGTGTTCTAATTCTCAACTGGGACATGTTCCAACACCCTTCCAACTAAGACATGTTCTATTATCTTGTGTTCTAAACTCCCTTCCTGCTGGGGCATGTTCTAACTCCTTTACAGCTAGGACATGTTCTAACACCCTAAGCTCTAAGCTTCCTTCCAGCTGAGACATGTTTTAATATCTCGTGTTCTAAGTTTCCTTCCAGCTGGGACATGTTCTAACATCCTATGTTCTAGGGTTCCTTCCATCTGGGACATGTTCTAAGCTCAAAGGTTCTTTCCAGCTTGAACACATTCTAACATCCTGTGACTTAAACTTCCTGATGGGATGTATTCTCACTCCTTTCCAGCTGGGACGTGTTCTAACATATGATGTTCTAAGCTCCCTTCCAGATGAGAAATATTCTAATATCCTATGTTCTAAGCTGCCTGCTAGCTTACTCTTATTCTAATGGCTCCCCAGTTCTAACATTCCATTTTTGGTGGTTCCTTCCAGTTCTGATATTTTGGCTTCTTTTTTTTAATGTCCTCTGGATTGGTCCTTTCCCTAGACCTCAGTTCTTTTACCCCCTCCCCCAGAAGGAAAGGCTGGGTAGAAAGGGGGTGGCTAGAACCAAGTTGCTCAGTGGCTCAGGGTAGGGGGAGAGCCACACAACCCAGTGGGGAGCCAGATGAACTATATTCAAATCAAACTGCTTTGGTCTCATGGGGTTGGGAGGGGACTAGGGAAAGGGGAAAGACTAGAAGAGATGGCCTTATTCTTGAAGAACCCTCAGTTTGAGAAACAGACACCATCTTGCCTCCCCTAGCCCCCATCTCTAGATCTGAGCTCACACCTACCCAGGCTGGGGGGTGGGGAGGAGAGAGATTAGAGCATGAGAAGGAAGACTCTGGGGTCATATCAGTTTTCTCCCAACCCAGCCAAGAGGCCCAAAGCTCCCCACTTGGCTTAGGTGCTCCAACTCCCATAATTCAGAAAAGTTTCCATTTAAAGGAAGCCAGTAACCCCAACTGGCTCCATCCTAGAGCCGCTACAGGGTCCACCACTGGTCCCCACTGGACTGCCACAAGCAGCAGAGGTGGGAGGCCCCAATCCTACATAGCTCAGCAAGCACAGAGCCTTCCAGAATGCTTCCAAAATTAGATTCTGACCTCTTCTCTTTTTCTCTGGTGCTGACTTAGAGGCTGGGGGTGGGGGGTGAGAGAGAGTTCTGAAATTCTGGGCATGTGAGGTGTGTCTCCAAGATCAGCTAAGCCTACGGGACCCCAGGACCTAGAACTGGCTACCCACCCCTCAGTACCCCATGTTCCTGCCTCCACGAAAGGTAATAGGAAGTATGTACTGGAAGCCAAGAGCCATGGGTCCTTGGGCAAATCCCATCCCCTCTGTGAGCCTCAGTTTCCCCCTCTGTAAAATAATAAGTTTGTATTATCCTATCTCTATCATTCCAGGTTCTGCAGGTCTGTGTCCCAGCCTGATAACCCCTATTTCTTTACTGTACAAACAACTTTTTTTTAAAAGCTCTTTATCCTCTTCTGGGTCTCAGTTTCCTAACCTGTAAAATGAGGCTTAGGGTTAGGCAACCTCCAAGCTTCCTTCCAGCCCTAAATCTCCTTATCCTTAGCTCTGCCATGCTCTGGTTTCTATGATTTTCCCCTCCCCTCGCCTCCCAATGGGGAAAAGGGCGGACTGGGGAAAAACTAAGAGCCTTCTCTGAGGCCGGGGTGGGGAAAGCCTAGCAGTCAGGGGCACCCGGAGCTCCCTCCTCTCCCTTCCCCCACCGGGGTTCTTCCCCCAAATCCTCCTTCTGGCAAGGCACGGTCATTTCGTACCCACAGGGGGCCCTTGGAAAGGTGGGGGAGGACGAGAGGGCTGACTTTATCAGGAGGGTCTGTCCTCCCCTTCCTGAACCCCCCAGCCCCCTCCCTCCCCAGGGCCCCGTGCAATCTGGGGAGTGATCTCATCCTTCCCCCCCCCCCCCACATCTCCACCAGGTGTCCCAGGCTACTTTCACCGCTCCCCTCCCCGCCCACCCCTCACTGGAGATCCCGCGGAGGGGTGCCAGGCGTCCGACCCGGCCGACTCACTGCGCCTTCAACCGGGGCTGCCTCTGAGACTCCCGGGCGGATCCGGGCAGGTCCCGGGGCTTCCTGGCGCCGGGGAACAGGTTTTACAGTACAGTGTGACACAGGTTGGAGGGAGAAGGAGGGAGAGAAGGCGGGCGGAGGAGGGGAGAAGTTTGAGGGGGCGGAGATGTGGAGGGGACCGCCGCGCAGCATCTTGGGACTTGTAGTCCCCTAGCGGGGTCCAGTCTCGCGCCCCCCCAAATTCTAAGCTTCCATCCCGGAGCCCACAGCACTTTCCCTACTTTTCCCTCTGCCCTCTGGAGTGATCGGAGTTAGAACCCCAAGGACCCAGGAGTCTTGGCTGAGGACGGGATCCTTGAATTCATTACCAGCTGGGCCGCCTCTCTGAGGAAGGGTCCCCGAAGCCCTGAATTAGACAGGGGCAGTGTCTGAATCTTCTACTGATTTGGCAAGGGACTTGAGAAGGAAGACTCCCTTGGGCTACGACTTCCGTGGCTAAAAAAGGAGGGGTTTTGGACTAGATCTCCAAGCACGAAACTTTGGGGAGTGGCCCAGAATTACTGGCATCGCCACGACTACAAAGGCCGGGATCCCCCGCGCTGGCGCCCTGGCTTGGGGTATCCTGGGGGTTGTAGTTGAGTTCGAGGTAAGCCGGCCCAGGAGCCCAGGAATTTTAGAACTCTCGGATATGGGAAAGGGGTGGGGAAGCCGCCCCGTCGGGGCCACCCGCTGGGGCATGCGGAGGAGGCACGGGTACGTTAGAAATATAGGTCCGGAGACGGGAGGTGGCCATCCCCCGGTCACACAGGGAGTCGGGGAAACCGGAGGCTGACGCACCGCCCAGGAATGCGGCCCCGTCGCCCGACCCGTCGATGTGTCCACCTCTCGAGGCCCGAGAAAGAAACCCCGTGGGCGAGAGAAGGTGGGGAGAAGGCAACGTTTCTTCCCTCTGTGGCCCATCCCGCCACTCCCCAAACCTGAGATCTTAACTCTCGGTCTGGGCCCCGCCCCCTCGGCTCCGCTCCCCCACCTCCAAGGGAACACCCCTCCTGGCCTTCCCGCCCCGCCTTTCCTGGGTCTCTCCGTTCACCCCAACTTCCCAACTCCTTCTCCGAGGCTGCTCTCCGTCCGCCCGCCCCTTCCCTGACCTGCAGCTTCTCTCGCTGACCCTAGAATCTACGTGCGAGCTGTAATGTCGCTTTGAGATGCACAAACCCAAGCCATGCCTAACCCCTATTTTACAGAGAAAAAAAAGGGCATCACGTAGTGGGTCCCACGCAGCCCAGGCATTCTATGCTGTGAATTCGAATCCCGCCTTCTAGACACTTACCGAGTCCCTTCCCCTCTCTGTGGGCCTCAGTTTCCAAGCCTGTAAGATGAGGAGTTGGCCGAGACGACTTCTAAGGCTCTAACTCCTGGGACCCTAGAACACGGTGTCCCCAATGCCCCCTGCCTGTGCCCCCAACCTGGCGTCCTGGGACCCCCAGCTGCCCTGGGCTGGGAACCCCGACGCCTGGGTTCCTTCCTGGAGTGGTCTGAAGCGCCTGGGATTCCAGACTGAGGGAATTCCGAGAAGTACGGACTGTGTTTCTCTCCCACTCCCCGCCCAGCCCAGAGCAGACCCCCAGAGCCGGGAACCCCAGCCGCGCTCTGGCCCCGACTCCGCCCCCCCTCGCCTGCCCCTTTAAATGCCCGGAGCTTCCAGACTGAGCACCTCCCAGCCGGCTCCCGCTGTGCCGGGATGGCCCAGGAGCGTCCGAGACAGAGGGGAGGACGCCGATGGAGCGGAGACCGGGACGCCAGAAATGTACCTTTCCTTCTGTCATACACCCCTCGCTTCCGGCGCAAATGGGCTCGCCTAGCCCCCGGCAGCCACGCCCTCGGCCCCACGTGGGCTCGCCGCGCGTTCCTGGATCCGGCCTGAACTTAGCGGAGTGGTCTGAGCTGCGGGACCATGGCTCAAGGTGAGCAGGGCGGGGCCGAGGGGGTGGGAGGAAGCCTTTGGTGGGGGGAGCACTACGTGGGGAGAGCAGTACGTGGGGAGAGGGGGGAGGCGGGGACCAAGAGCGCCCTGCTTATCCCCCGTCTGCCCCCACCCGCCTGCCGCCAGCGGTCCGGAGCCCGCTCTGCCCAGACGACTTCTGTCCGGCTACGCTGCCCGCCGAGCCGCCCTCGAGCCTCGCCCTGGACGCCCTGCGGAAGCCTGGCACCGAGCTATGGCTCATCCGGACCCCCGCGGACTTCAGGCCGGCCAGGTGAGAGGGGCCGCGGCCCGCCACGTGCCGCGCGCGCGCACACGCACACACACACGCACACACACACACACACACACACACACACACGCGTGCACACGCAACTTCGGGCGGAGGTTAGGACGCCTGCCGGGCCAGGCTCCGAGGTCTGTTCCGGTGGAGGAACCCGGTGGTGTTGAAGGTTCTGAGCACCCCCCTGCCCCGGGCCGGTGCTCAGTCGTTTCACTAGTGTTCGACTCTGCGTAGCTCAGGTCGTACCGACTCCAGTCCCGGAGCTCTACTCCCTGAGCCCCTAGCTACCCTTCTGTAACCTAAGATCTCTCGAATTCATTCATTCAGTAAACATTTATTAAGCACCTACTAGGTGCCGGGTATGCACCTAAGTGGCGCCTTAGTGCATAGAGTGCCCAGTCTGGAGTCAGACTCTTCCTCCAGAGTACAGATTCCAGCCTCAGCCACTTCCTAGCTGGGTGACCTTGGGCAAGTCACCTCACCCAGTTTGCCTCAGTTTCCCCATCTGCAAATGAGCTGGAGAAGGAGATGGCAGAACACTCCAGTATCTTTGCCAAGAAAACCCCAAGTGGGGTCACAGAGAGTCAGACAGGACTGAAATGACTGACCAGCACCACTTAGTGTGCCAGGCACAGTGCCAAGTGCTGGGATACAAAAAGGCAAAAGACAGGTCCTGCCTTCAAGGAGCTTACCATCCAGTGCTCACCTGGTTCTCAGAAGTGAGGATTCCAGAATTCTACCGTGTTCACCCCAGACTCTCTTAGTTACTGGGGTTCTTGCTGTAGTCCCACCTGTCTCGCACCCCTCAGGTCTCCCCCCATACAATCTTCCTCTCTCCGCAGCCTCAATGGATGCAAGGTGCCTCTTGTTGGCTTCCAGACCCTGAAGAGCCATCGGAATGAGACTGGCATCCGCCAGCGCTACCACGTCCTGAGCAACACCAGCAGAAGCAGCCCGGAGACCCTGCTGGCACCCTCATCTTCAGCAGACGGCCAGCTGGCCCCAGCCCCAGCTCTGCAGGGTGCCCTGAGCATCATAGAAGTGCCCCGAAGCAAGTCCTCCGGGCGGTCCCTCCATGCCATCCCCACCAGCCCACCCCCACAGATCCCACCTGGCCTACGGCCCCGATTCCAGGCCTTTGGGGGCTGGCAGCCTGTGCTGGGGCCCCCGGCTCAGACAGTGGCAGGGGAGGCAGGGGAAGTGAAGTCTTCCCGGAAGAGGAAGAAGCCCGAAGTGGTGTCTCTGAATCCCAGTCCACAGGAGATTCTGAATGGAGTGGGAGAGCTGAACTCTGCTCCAGGGCAGGGGATGCCGGAGCCTGTAGAGCAAGTGCCAGTCAAAACAGAGGAAGAAGCAACAGCCCCATCACCTGGCAAGAAGAAGAAGAAAAAGAGCGAGCTGGCAGGAGAGGTGCCAGAGCCAGCAGGAGAGGTGCCGGAGCCAGAGGGCGGGGCGATGGAGCTGCAACAGGAGGCTGTTCTTTCACCCACTAAGGCAAAGAAGAGCAAGAAGAGACGTGAGCCAGCAGGAGAGGTGCCGGAGCCAGAGGGCGGGGCGATGGAGCTGCAACAGGAGGCTGTTCTTTCACCCACTAAGGCAAAGAAGCAAGAAGAGATGTGAGCCGGCAGGAGAGGTGCCGGAGCCAGAGGGCGGGCGATGGAGCTGCAACAGGAGGCTGTTCTTTCACCCACTAAGGCAAAGAAGAGCAAGAAGAGACGTGAGCCGGCAGGAGAGGTGCCGGAGCCAGAGGGCGGGGCGATGGAGCTGCAACAGGAGGCTGTTCTTTCACCCACTAAGGCAAAGAAGAGCAAGAAGAGACGTGAGCCAGCAGGAGAGGTGCCGGAGCCAGAGGGCGGGGCGATGGAGCTGCAACAGGAGGCTGTTCTTTCACCCACTAAGGCAAAGAAGAGCAAGAAGAGACATAAGCCGGCAGGAGAGGTGCCGGAGCCAGACGGTGGGGCGATGGAGCTGCAACAGGAGGCTGTTCTTTCACCCACTAAGGCAAAGAAGAGCAAGAAGAGACGTGAGCTGGAAGGAGAGGTGCCGGAGCCAGGGGAGAGGCGATCAGAGTCTGAGGTCCAAATTAACCTTCAAGAGGAGAAAGCCCTGTCCTCGAGCAGGAAGAAACAGGAGGCAGGAGAAGAGATGCTGGTGCCTGAGCGGGCTGTTGGACTGGAGAAAAAGCAGGCAGAGATAAGCGAGTCCCTCGGGGAGGCCAAGCCTCCGCACAGCAAGAAGAAGAAGAAGGAGAAGAAGAGGAAGCCAGAGGAAGGGGACGGGGCAGCCCCAGAGCCCCCCAAGGAGATGGAGTCCCTGGCAGGGGTCCCTGAGTCAGGCACCCCAAGCCTTGGCCAGGGGGTGGAGGAGAAGAAGAGAAAGAAGAAGAGGCGGCATCTGGGGGAGGGAGGGCCAGCGGAAGCCTAAGGGATGAACCAGCCCCATCAGCGCCCTGTCTGGGGGCCAGTGGGGAAGAGACCCCACGGAGCCACAGTGGTGGCCCTTGACCTTGGAGAGGCTCGCATTGTGCCCTGGCATGGATGGAGACAGGCCAGCTGGTGTGCATGCTTTATTGGCATCCATCCGGGACCCTCCCTGCCCAGCCTTGGGTTTTCAGGGCACCTTCAGGAAGGGCTGGTGTAGGACTTCAAAGAGCCTTCGGGCCTACAGAAGAAGCAGACAGTTGGCCTCGGCCATTAAAAGGAGATCTTGGCCCATCTGGGGTGCAGCTGTTTGTCTTCATTCCCATCTCCTGCCAGGCTCTTCCCAGATTGCAGGTGGGGTGGGCTGGGGTGGGGAGCCCCTATCTGGGAGTCCTGGATCCAGACGTGGTTCCACCACTAATCCCCTCCACCCCCCCCGGAAATTGAGGGGACTGGACTAGAAAGGGGGCTCTGGGCATCTCAGGGTCTCAGAATCTCCAGCGTCATCCCTCCCCTATCACCTTCTGAGGCCCAAAGCCAGGGCAGAGGGACAGGTCGTCCTGAGAGGCGGCTGTGAGCTGCTCCAGAGACTGCAAGGGGAGGGGGGGCACATGAAAAGGGGCACGTGAGGTAACCAAAAAGTGAGGCCATGACAGCCATGCTGGGTGACCGACCCCCCTCCCCCAGGTGTGTGGCTGGGGGATCCTGAGAGGCAGAGAAGGGAGAATGCTGGCCTCCCAAGAATGGAGGGACACGGGAGGACCAGAGCCCAGGACTGGGGCATCCGGCAGGAGCCTCACCCCAAAGGTGGCCAGCAGTGTCTGGCTGTCTGTCTTGTTCACTGACTTCACTGTGGTCAGGCACTCGGTGACCTAGGAGGGGAAGAGCTCCATTAGCTGGGAGATGAGCTCCCTGTATACAGGTGTGGTGGCTGCAGGCCAGGGCAGTGGGGGGAGGGAAAGAGAAACCTCTCACCCTTGACACAAAGTCCTGCTCCAACTTTTCCTTCAGCAAGTCGGCAGGCTTCTGCTCATAGGACTTGTAGGTCTCCAGGTACCGCCCGGCTTCTTCTGGGCTGGGGGAGGGCAGAGGGAAAGGAGTGAGGCGGGCCTTTACCTTCCCCCTGCCCCCCCATCACTCCCCTACTGCTTTTCCCCCAAACCTCACCTCCAGGCTAGAATCAGTGTGCAGTCAGCCAGGATGCACATCTTAGCCAGATCCTTCAGGGCACGCTGAGGGTCCTTCTGTTTGAACCCACATTAGAGAGAGAGGGTTAGAGCTGTGGACCACCAAAGAGTAGAGGACTTCAAATGGAGAATGTCAAAGGAGAAGAGGGGATGTCAGAGCTGGGAGGGGTCTTAGAACAGGAAATGTCAGGGCTGGGAGGGGACCTAGCCCAGGGAATGTCAGGGCTGGGAGGGGACCCAGAACAGGGAATGTCAGGGCTGGGATGGCCCTTAGAAGAGGAAATGTCAGGACTTGAAGTGACTTTAGAACATGGAGAGACAGATCATACATAAATTTATAAAGAAAAAGAAATTACCTTTCAGGTATTTGGCTAAAGGAATAATTCGTGACCAAAGGAAAAAAAGGGTCACAGAAGATAAAAGTGGACAGTTTTTATTACGTAAAACTAAAAAAAGTTTTGCACAAATAAAACCAAGGCAGCTAAAATTAACAGATTAACAGGGAAGTAGAGAACTGGGCAGGGGGACAACTCCAATCTTTGCAGCAAGTTTCTCCAATAAAGGTCTTATTTCCAAGCTATGATAGGAACTGATTCAAATTTAGAAGAAGAAAAACCACCTACTTGGCAAATGGTCAAAAGATATGCACGAGTAGTAGTTAGGGAAGAAATTGAACTGGGGGGGGAGGGGGATGGTCCAAAAGGCTAACATCAAGAAATTCAAAGTAAAGCAGCTCTGTGGTTCCACCTCAGACTGTACAGATTGCCAAAGTTAATGGAAGAAGGACACCAGCAAATGCCAGAAGGGCTGGTAAATAAGTTGGTGGAGCTGTGAGCTGATAAGGCCATTGTTGATTAGAACCTGGCCCTGAAAGTGATTAAGTTGTGCATACATACCCTTTGCCCAGTGATGGTACTGTGAGGTCTATGCCCTAAAGAGATCAAAGTAAGAGGGAAAGGATTCATAGATATAAAAGCATAGCAGCTCTTTCTGAGGGGGCAAAGAACTGGAGCTTGAAGGGGTCCCCATCAGTTGGGGAATGGTTGAACAGACTGGAATCTGATCGCATTGTAAGAAATGGAGAGAGATGGTTTCAGAGAAACCCAGGGGAGAGTTGTAGGAGCTGATACAGAGTGAATTAAACAGAACCAGGAGAACAATGAATAACAGAACGAATGACAAAGTACCGCAAAGACTATTCTACTTTTGAACACTAGGGAACTCTGGTCAATTCAATGGTCCACCATGATTTCAGAAGTGATGGATTCAGGGTGCAGAATGAGACAAATACTTTTTGGATATAGCCAATGGGGAATGTTTTTTTTCTTGACTGTGCATCTTTATTTTTTGATGGGGTGGCAAGTGGAAGAAAATAGAACTGTTAATTGAAAACAGATTTAAATATATATATATATATATATATCATCAGAGCTGGGCCAGCAGAACATGGAATGTCATATCTAGAAGGGACTTTAGAACAGGAAATGTTCCCCATGGGAAGGGGCTTAGAACAGAGACCATCAGAGCTGGAAGGGCCCTGTCCCGCAGAAGCTATCCAGTCTATTTGGCACAAGGGGAAACTGAGGCCCTGGGGAGGTGCTGGGCAGGGCTCCGCTCCTGGCCTCTTACCACATCTACTTGTAGCAGGAGAACTCGAAGTGCGTAGTTCTTCCCCAGCCCTTGCAGACGCTCATGGATGTAATTGGGGTGCAGGTTGTGGTAGCGAAGGCTGAGAGAGAGAACCACGGAAAGTCAGTTCATCCAGTTCCTAACTCCAGGCCCGGTGCCCCTTAGCTGCCCTTGATCCCAGATCCTAAGTCTCCAACCCCATCATTCCACACCATGCCAACCCCCATGATACAATGGATGTCACCTAACACTTCAAGGGTAAGTAATTTCTAAGATGCATCCATCCCCCAGTATGGATCTCAACCCCTCTGTGATGTAGTAAACAGATTCCTGTGACCAAAACACGGGATGGGTTGCCTTGCAGTCAACCAGGTCATGACCCAGTCCAAAGCTAATTAGTTTGGTCCTGGAATGATGATCACACAGTCCATCCCTGGGCCAGTACTACAGGCCTCTCCAGCTGGGCAGGAGCTGTCAGAGCTCTTTGGGCTCTGCTGACCCAGCCTTTGGGACCCTAAGGTCACTGCCTTACTTCATATGAGGCATGGAGGAAGTCACCTACCAAGGGTGGGCTGGAGCCCAAGGACCCTCACTCTTTTAGGTGTGTGTGGGTGGTGGGGCAGGGAAGTCTGCAGGGAGAACTTGGCACCTGGCTCAGCCCTTGAAGGAAGGGGCTATCAACAGGTGGAGAGATTAATCAATCTTTGAGCGTTTATTACGCCCCTACTACAAGTCAGGCACTAAGCTAGGTGATGAGAACACCAAGAAATGGAAAACAATCCCTTGCTGTCTAGGAGGAGAGATGAGGGCTCCTCCCTAAGTTCTCTACCCCACCCTTTTTCCTGATTCCCTGGGATCCCCACACCCCAGCTAGCAGGGCTCTGACTTTCCATTCCCTTATCCCATCTCAAATCCCATATCTCCAGGTGATTTTTTTTCCTGGAGTTAGAGTTCATCCAGGGAGGCCTCTGAGAGGAGAGGAGGGCCAAAAGTTGGTGGCAGGAGACACCTGGGTTGGGGGCTTACCTGAGGAAGAGGGCACAGGTACTCTGACCCATAACATAGTCGGGGACAATTTCTCCAAATTCCCAAGGCACATTCCTTATAAACTTCAGGACAGGATTCCCCCTCTAGGAAGAAGCAGGAGGTGAAAAGAGAACTTTGGTTTCCCCCATTCCCTCTGCGTTCTGGGATTATCCCCACCTCACCTGTCGGGGGCTCACAGTGATGGTGCTGCTCTTGGTCTGAGGTTTGGGGCCCTGAGGGCCCTGGTTGTCGATCTCTCCTGCAGGGGGTCCCAGGCTGGGAGCAGCTTCGGGCCCAGTCCCCCGGGGAGCAGCTTCTGCCCGGACTGCTCTAGGACAGAGCCTGGTTGTTGCGTACTTAGCATAGGTTGGAGCTGCCTCGTGGACAGAGGTGGAAGGTGAAGGAAAGCTCTGGCTGGATTTGAATAAGGACTTTACCTGAGGATAGGGGAAGGAGGAAGGCATGAAGACTTCTGTTTCTCCTTTGGAGATACATCTGAGAGTACTGACTGATGCAGATGAAAGTGAGGCCAGCCTCCTTTTACAGAAGAGGAAACTGAGGCCCGACCTAATTGACTAAACACCGATTATGTACCCAGGATGTACAAAGAACCACACGTTGTTGTTCCCATTAGAATGTAAGCTCACGGGGTGGGGGGGGGCCGCTAGGTGGCGCAGTGGATGGAGCACCAGGCCTGACTTCAGATACGGCCTCAGACACGTAACACTAGCTCTGTGACCCTGGGCAAGTCATTTAACCCCATTGCCTAGACAAAAAAAATGTAAGCTCGCTGAGAACAAGCTGACTTTGTATCCCTGGCACTTATCATAGTGAGGGCTTAATAAATGTTTGTTGACTGGCTGATTGACTATAAAGCTGATATTAAAACCCAGGTCCTGAGAGTTCATGGTGTCAGAGGAAGAGGAGAGGCTCACCCTGGAATCCACCTTCTGCACCCCATAAGCCCCCTCCACAGCCTCCCTGAAAAGCCTCTGCTCAAATACCACCAGTGATGGGGGAGCTCACTTATGTGAGGCAGCTGTTTGGAAAGGTTTTCCCTTACACAGTCCAGACATGTCTGTGTAGCCCCCTCCCTGCCCCATGCCCCCAATTCTGTCCTCTTGGTCCAAGCCAGAATGAGCCATGTGACAGCCCTCTGGTGCAGGGATCTCCTGTACCTCTTCTGCATCACAAACATCCCTCATTTGACAGAGGGAGAAATTAAGGCACAGAGAGGGGAAGGGCCTGGCCCAGGGCCCACAAGGAGCATTCCAAGCATTCCCTGATAATATCCCTGGGGCTGGCCAGGGAACCCAGCACCATGACATCCCTGGCTTACTAGCTGTGTTGACTCTGGGCAAGTCACTTCATCCTGTTTGCCTCAGTTTCCTCCTCTATAAAATGAGCTGTGGAAGGAAATGGCACATCACTCTAGTACCTCTGCCAAAATAAA